AGACTAAGAGAAGGTCACTTTAAAAAACCTAATTCTTTCTGGCTGAACGCAAAATGGCCATCACATCCCAGCGTGTTCAGTACTTTGCAAATGATGGAAGTGCTGGATTGCTCAGCTAGCACACACATGGTGATTATGTATCATACATACACAAAACAAAGTGTTAATTCTAGCTCTTCTTGAACACATACAGTAAGCATAGCCAGTATTTGCAGTTTATGCAGTTTATATGCCCTATAAGCAAGGGGGATGTATTGCTGAAATGCTGTCTGTAAGACCAAGTTGCCAAGGAGCAGGACCACAATACTAAAGAGGCTGCTGTAAAACTGAAGTGGTACTTACGTTTTAACATCACAAAACACAAGTGCACAGTGATCAGATCTTTTAAGATGGTTTTCTTCTCCCTCATGCATGCACACACAGTAATTTAGCTTAACTGGTAGGTCTATATCTTTTGCTTTGCCTAAGCTTTCTTTTAAATAGCTAGCACTTACATCTGCAGCTCTGCACTAGCATTTATTTTAGCTTTCTTCCAGTATGTCCAGGCTGCCTAGTCTCTACTCTCAGTCCATGAGTTTTGTCCTTCTGCTCTCATAACAGTAATCACCTGGGGAACAATATTTACATTCCTGAATTGCTCACCCAAAATAGGAAGTTGGGTGGAAACAGTCTGTCCTACATAACTTCCATTGCTTCCTGGTTTGGGTGGGAGAGGAAGTAGGAGTACTGAAACACTGCTAAAGAGACTGTTCTCATGGTAGTGATGACCTAAGTGTAGTTTGTGGAACACAAAATTGGGGGGGGGAGGGGGAACCCTTACCTAGATTTTTTTTTTTTTACAATTCAGCCCATTAAATGGGCAATTGGAAAATACTGTATATTCCTAAAAGTAATTTGTACCTTCAAATAGATTTTTAAAAGACTGTTTTTAAAAGTTAAAAAGACCAAACACTTACCAGAGTACTTCAGAGATGACTTGGTATCTTCCCCATAATACAAACTGTTGAGAAAATACAGCATAGGGAAGACTTTTCCACATTTATGCAATGCCAGAAATTCAATACCGTACTGATTCTGTACTCAGTCTACTATGCAACATCTGTGCACCACTGAAAACAGGAGCTTTTAGCAGAAATGCTGAACTAATCATCCAGTTTAAAGGCTGGAGAGTTGTCCTGTGCATTTAAACCCCAACTGAAAATTGATGATCTTGGGAAGACTAGGGGAGGCTTTTATACAGGGCTTTAAAGTAGTTGAATATCCTTATAATCTGATAATAATTCTCTGGTTTCTTGGTATTAATTTCCTGAAAAATATTAAAGTTTGTATTTTGCTTTAAATGCATTCCTGGTAATTCTGTCATTTCTTTCAAATATCCACATTTTCAGCCTTGTGTGCATCTCTTATAATCAGTATCTGCTAAAGTACAAAACCTTGTATTGAAGTTCTTAATTTTTTTATTTCCCTGGTAAAAAAAAAAAAATTGTTTTTAACAAGGTGTTTTCTACTACATTACCCTGCAATTTCTTGCAGTCTGCATAGAAAGTGATACTGCTTTCTAGCCTATACCCCCCAAAAAATCATTTATTCAAAAGTAAACATTCTCTCAAATGTCAGTATAAACAAGGTAGATATTTGAACACTTGATGTTTAATGTTTGGAATAGCTGGTTATCAGACTGCATTTATCTCACTTGCGAGTGTATGCCAAAGGAGTGTGTGTGATATGTTGAGCTTGCATAAGCAGACACATTTCTTCTAATAATCATAGATCTGTCATTCTAGATGTAGGTGAGGTAAGACTTCATGCTACAGTAAGAAGTTCTGGTTTATAAGAAATTACAGTGTAAAATTCCTAATGCTTAAAGTCATTCTTGCATTTACACTTGCAGGATGTATTTTTTCAAGCCCTTTAATGCATCACCTTTTGGAGTTCATGTCTTGAGAACAGAATCTAGAGGTTTTCCTCTGAAATCTTATGTAATTATGTAGATTTACTTGATTTAGAAACAACGCTATCTAATAAAAGTATAAATTCCATATTTCAGACATGCAAGAAAGCATTTCAGTCAGGCTGAGGGAAGCCAGCTGGACGAGGTTCGACAAGTGATGGGGATGTTGGCCTTTCCTTCAGACACTCATATTTCCCCCTATAAGGTAACGTTACGTTTGAAATTCAGTGGTACAGCAGAACAATAAAATATATGTTGCCGTTCTTTTTCCGTACAGGAAAATGCATTGATAATCTGAAGACCAAATGTTGTTCTAATTTTACTTTCCAAAATCCACCTTTATAATAGTCCTTAATTCTAATAAACAGTCCTTGCCTGTACACTAATCCAGGTAGTATTTGTGTTGTTGCACTTGGCTCCTACCATTAACGGACAGATTCGTACTGAACTAGGCTTACCACAAACCCAGCACTAAAGATCTGTGGGACTGGGAGCGTGATAATGCCAATATACAGCAAGGGACAGAAGATGGGGAGGTACAAAGAAAAAAAAATGAGTGTTGTTCAACATACTAGGCTGTGGCCTTACTATGCTAGCAGCAGTTCTTAACTCTACTTTTCAAATTACTGTTCTTGCGGTGGTTGGGATGAAGAAAGGAAAGATTATTTGAATTATCTGAAAACAGTATTTGTGATGCTTATAAATAAGTGTTTATTTGGAGTTTGCAAATTAATGTAGATATTAGTGGCAATATCAACCTCTAAATTTGAATCAAGCAAAATTCAGAGGTAGTTGCTGTTTCTACAGAGTTTGTTCTGTGGTCATGTGCTAATTCACTTTTTCTAATTTGGCATTGGACGCAGAAGGTAGACAAGAGTAGAGGTGGCAAAGCAAGACAAGAGTCCTGTGAAATGCCAAGCCAATGTGTGGCAGTGCCAAGCCAATGTGTGGCAATGCCAGTATAAACATGTTTTTTAAACAATTGATGATGAAATCAATGGTTTAACAAAACAAGCACATACACACAAAGAAAACCCACAAAAAAAACCCACAAAAAACCAACCAAACTAACAACCCACAGAATTAATTTGAATGTATTTGCTAATCCTGGAGTCCTAGAAGGATCCTGATATTTTGGATTCTACATTTGATATGAGTTAAAAGCATAAATGATAGATGTGTTAAAAGACTGGGTGTAAGAGCTTATCGTTGTTTTAGTAGTTAGAAAGAAATAGGAAATAAAAATCCTGTATTTTGTTCTAAGGGCTAGTTTGGACAGAATGTTTCAATGAAAGAGAGCAAGGAGAAAAGCTAGTATTGTTTCATGTACAACCATACAATTGGAACAAATTCCCTACTGCTTTTTATGGATCTGACTTAAAATATTCTAGTTTATGGAAGTTGTGTTTTGGGTCCTCTAATAATGACCTAGACAAACAGAATCATAGAGTGCACGCTTGTTTGGAGATACCTTTAACATGTTGACTAGGAGTTCTGTGCATAAATGGCTTCTTAAAATGGCTTTAAGTAAAATTACTTTTAAATTTGTGAGAATTTGTCAGATCATATCTCTCCAATTGATTTTTATTAATCCATGGGAAGAAGCATGGGAAGAAGTTGAACACAACTTTCTCCCGCTTGTTGTCCTATCTTTTAGGACTTTAAGGAAAACAAATTTAATGTGGCAAAACAAGCTATTTTCTTTTGATATTCTTGGAACAAGCTTGTGTAGCTGTGGCTGGAATTAGTGCAGCTGGGTGTTTTGTAAACTGATACTTTTGTGTCCCGTCACCTAGGCCCTTAATCACTAGCTTTTCGTAATCATTAGTTGTACTTTATCTCTTTATCATGGATCTGTTGTAGGCTCTGTCTGTCACCTCAAGAGTTGCCTTAAGGTCAAAACAAAAGCTTCCTCCTGGAACTCTGGAAACATTCTGGCTTTAAATGGGGCAGGTGATAGAGCAAACAGACTTGCAGTCTGGTGGCAGAAACGGTGCTTTTGGATAAAAGTTCTCAGGCCAGTCTGATCATCTTGGGTTGAGGGAATTCCAGGGTACAGGCTACAACCAGAGGTAATGCTGGAGTCCATCCTTCTCCAGTGTCTCTACCTGAATGAACAGGGAACTGATGAGAGACAGAGTGGGCCAGGGTGCAAATCAAAACATAAAGACCAGGGTCTACCTGGTAAAATCACCACCTAATAATTTTGGTATAACATATTTTGAATATAACATATTTGAATACACTACTCAGTGTATTGTCTGTCACCAAGTTTTTTATTTTTTTTAAAAGCCTATTTTAGAAACTAAAAAAATATATTAAAATATATTACTGTTTCTCCTAGTTGCTTCCAAGTGTAGTATTGCACAGTTGATAATATGAACTTATGTCTAAGATAAACATTGTCAGTTCTCATGACCAAAATGCAGGTTTATGGATACAAAGGAGAAGGGGTGCTAGCAGAAGAAAGGATTGGGTCTTTGCCTGTGTATATATAACATAACGAGTATTTTTTTCAAAGGGTCTTCACTTCTTACATGACTCTCTCACAGCATTACTTTTAGGATTCAATATATCCTTGACCTGTGGGTTTAGTTCTTGATTCCACGAAAAAAATCCTGACTTAAATACTGTTTCATTTTTTAGGTAACCCATAGCGTTACAATATGTATTAAAGAATTTTGTGCGTAAAAGCATAGCTTGGCTAAGCTTTCTCTAACCTGGGCTTGTGCCAGCTCTTCAAATTAAAACCTTTTTTTCCCCCCCTCAAAACTGATACAAAATTCTGTAAACATTACGTATTACAAAGAGGTATCCGCAGAATTAGTCTCACTTGAGGTAAAAGATGCTTCTGACTTTTCGATGTTAATGGTTCAGAGGCTATGGAGCAAACATGCCACTATACTAATGTTGGTTCGTGAGTAGGCCAGCATTCTAGAAAACTAAATGCAAGAAATAGCCTTGCCAGGATTTACATACCTTAATTAGAACATTTGGTAGATGATAGAAGGGATGGAACTAGAATCTGCAGTTAGATTGCTTTTGATAGAGCAAGGAAGATCGTATGTAGGGATCTCTTACTGCCGAATCATTTCACTCGGACCTTTGCATAGACAATGTGCACGCTGTAAAAGTGAAAGAGTCTTCATTGAACTCAGATCTTATGTTTTTAGGAGTTCACGTGCACAAGTATAATGAAAAGTAAGTTTGGAGATTTGAATATTGTTGTGCCAGCTGTTTTAAGTAGTACTTGATTTAAATTGTATTTCTAGTAAACTAGTGTTAAAGGGTACTTTCTAAACAAGTATATTCATACTACGCATTAGCATGTGTAATTTTATGTTGGATTCAGTCTAGTGAGTTTTGCACAATTTACCACTCGCAGGCTTTTTTCCCTCCAGACAATTAGATTGAAAACAACTTATATTTGTGTTACTGTTTTTAACAGGATCTCTTGGACCCTGCTCGATGGAGAATGCTGATCCAACAGTTTAGATATGATAACTACAGACTACATCAGCTGGGAAACAATTCTGTTTTTACTATAACACTCCAGGCAGGCCTTTCAGCTATAAAAACACCGTATCCTTTAATGCAGATACTACTGTTGAGTGCAAAAAAGCATTGTGATTTTTTTTTTTCCATTTTATGGATGCTTTTCGGAGAGCTCCAAGAGGAGATGTGACATGTGAATATTTTTGCTTATGAGTTGTTTAAATGGAGTATGAATTGGTCTCTCTATTAAATTAAGGAGATATTATAATAAATGGCATTATGGCTTAAGAAAAACAAGCCCAAATCAAAATTTTAAGGTGAAATGTACATTGCATTTGCATGCTAGGCTATCTTGCCATGTGTCTTAAGTTAGTGAATATATCTGCAAAACTTAGTGCGCTGGGTCAGAATTATTATTTTTAAGCACTTACACACAAGTTTACCCTGTCTGGTTTTATGTGAATGTTCAAATACATCCTGCATCTTTTGAAACTTAGTTGAATTTGCTACGCGTGGTGGTGTGTTAGGGAAGGGCCAGTGCTATTGAAGTGTTCTACATCAGAAACTTTACCTGTAGAGGGTGGCAGGCGCTTGTTGCTCACTCCTCTTCCTTGAAACAAAACAAGCACTTGATTCTTTTACGTACACGTTAAACTTGAATTAAATGGTCCTGCACACTTTATAACCTAGGTTATATTTGCACAGTTTACTATCGTTTTTCCAGTGTTTGCCATTAACTAATTGTTGTTGTGTTTTGTGGTGGTTGTTCCTTAACTTGCTGTTAAACAGACAATGTTATAAAGAGGATGGGAGCTCAAAAAACCCAGACTGCCCTGTGTGTAGCAAATCCCTGAACAAGCTGGCTCAGCCTCTGCCTATGGCACATTGTGCCAACTCCCGACTAGTCTGCAAGATTTCGGGGGATGTAATGAACGAAAATAATCCTCCTATGATGTTACCAAATGGATATGTCTATGGATACAATGTAAGTGTTGAAATCAATGACTTAACTCTACAATAGCAGTGGTTATAATAACTTTCTATATCAGAATAAGAGCTTATGAACTCAGGAAGTTAGAAGTATCTTCTATATTAACAGAAGAAAAATAACTTCCTGCAGTAATTTTTAAAGGAGTGTGTATTTGTGATTAAATTGGTCTTTAAAGAAGCTAATGTCTGACTATATGAGTTTATAACATGAAATCAAATGACATTGGAAATCCTTCCCTCTAGAGAGCAATAATATAGAATAAGTAACTTCTGTGGGCAAAGATACTTTGACCTCAGACTATAGCACCATTTGCAATAAATAAAAAGTTTATTTACTAAACAATTAAATAATGCTTTTGGTTACTATTGTGAATATTATCTTTTGATTTCACTCTTTTTCAGTCTCTGCTTTCTATTCGTCAAGATGACAAAGTAATTTGCCCAAGAACCAAAGAAGTCTTCAACTTCTCACAAGCTGAGAAAGTCTACATCATGTAGGTCCACAAACCACATGATGAAGTGCCGCTGGAATTTTGACACAGTGTGTATTGGCATACCCTGTGAAGGGGGGGGCCTTAATGTGTGGCAAAGAAGCAAAACCTGCCACCTTGGGGATCAGACCTGTCGGTGGCATTATTGTTTCTTGCGACCAAAGATCAATGAGCATCAATAAACACTCTTTAAAAAAAAAAAAAAAAAGAGAGGAATTATGACTTAAGTTTGTACTTGAATAAAAACAAAAACAAATTTTGATTGTTAAGGTTTTGTAACATAAAGTAAAAAAATTGGATTCTTCTCAAAAGTACTTTCATCTTCTAAAGGATAACTTTAAAGATGGACACTTGCACTGGGGGAAAAGCGAAAAGTTACAACAGATTTGAAATTTAAATCCATTTTTCTTCCCTCTTTTTCACAATTGTCCAAGACCCTTTTGTTATCAAAGATTTCAGTACTACCAATGTGTTCTCCTTTAAGCTCCTCTTTGCCTTCTTTGTGATCCTCTCGTGAAGTAATCCTGAACATGAATGATGTAACTTATTTCCATGGGAAGATATTGATGTGTTTGACACAAGCCTGGCTTCTCTGGAGGATCAACTAGGGACTGGTTTGAAGGAGTATGAAGTCTTTTTCCAAACCCAAATATTTTAAGGAGGTTGCATAAGTATCAAGAGGAACTGAGAACATTTCAGGCAAAATCCAATGCTTGTTTAAATGTTCTTTTTCCAGTCTACCATAGTGTTAAAGTCCTTCTAAAGTTATTAGTTATGTGCATAGGGTTCAATATGAAATCATTAGTGCTACTGCCTTATTTCTTGCTTTGAGAATGTACTCACATGAAAATGAGCTGGTATTCTTAAGTGTTGGGCGAAGTTTCTGAAGATGCCTTGCAGGATGATTACATAATTTTAGGGTCTAAATAGTATTCATTACTGAAACTAATAGTTCAATTTTAACAACTACAGAACACATCCTTATGACTTTTCAGAAGAATTAAACCATTGTAGTTTAAACAAAACCATATTGTAGAGGTTTGTATTTAGCGCTTATTTTTGCATGTTGATGTTGATTAGCTAATAAAAGATTGTAAATGTAAAACATGTTAATAAAAATTGTTTTCCATTTCTTGATTATATAAAATTAGAAAGCTGCTTTGTATTTAAATGTAAAAAAAAAAATAACCCTTTTATAAGGGGGTCTCTTAAAAGGGGTGCAACTTCCAAATGTTTTTTAGTGTTCCGAGATATTAAAAAAAAAAAAAAAAACCCAAACCACACCACAACCATAAACATTGTCCTTCAGACCACTGGTTCAAACTTTTCATATTTGAACAGTACTTTTTTTTTTTCTGTTGCTTCCTAGAAGACTGCCTCGTGTCCTAGAGACTTTCTGTTGAACTGTTGTGGGAGGTGCTGGGTACAAGGCTTTGAGGAGTGACTGAGTGCTTTCAAGAAAGCTAACAACAAATGCTGGAGGGACCACAACTTCTATTTGTGTTCAGCAATTAGAGATTACATATATATTATCAGCCACTCTGAACCTGTATAATGCGGTGGGATTTCCAGTGAGGTATGTCTTAAAGGGTTCCCTTGTCAGTAAGCACATGTTATTAGGTGTATCTGGAACACTGCAGAGCTGCCGGCGTGGCAGAGACCCGTGTTCCTGCACTTACTGCTGGGAGGGTCTGTTTCCCTCCGTGTTTTTCTGAAGTGGCAGGTTTAGTGATGCCTTAGAACAAAGGCAATGTGCTGAGAGTAGGTGGAGGCAGGTAAGGAGAGAACTTGCATCAGTAACTGGAGTAATTGCTATCAGTGAAGCAGTAACGGATCTCTTTCTTCCTTGTGGGGCAAGAGTTGAAGCATCATCAACTTGGAAGGGAAGAGGACATCACCCTGGGGAGCAGCATCGCTGAAACCCAAGTGAACAGTATCTGTTTTTCCTCAGCAGACTGTTCACAACATCGTAGCAGAAGCGCAAAGGTAACTTTGAGAATGGAACATGACCTTTCCCTATTTCACAGAAATGCGAAGGGAGGAAGGGGTAGATTTACCAGCCCTGAGGAAATGTGTAGTAACTGCACAACAATTGTAGGGCATGGAAATTGTTGCTTTCACTTCTCTAAGTGCTAGTTAGAGCTGTGGTTTCCTGAGATTTCAGCTCTTTTTGCTTTCTGTGGCCTAAGCAGAGTGGTGAAGAAATCCCAGAAAACTAGTTGAGAAGAGGAGGAGAGCAGCTGTCCTACAGGAGGAGGCCTCCCCTTATGGAAGTGTCATCTCAGAGGGCCAGGCACCACCGTGAGGTCTTAGTCCCTGATGGTGTACTGTAAAAGAGGAGCGTAGGGCAGCTTCAGCTCTTTGTTAGCCATGACTGCTCACCTAGAAATCTGCAATCAACCAACCTGTTCTGACTGCATGAGACCTGTTAGATACAGGGGGCTGTAGCCTGGCTGAGCCCTGGGGACTGTGTCCAGTTCACGCACCCACAGGCTGGCTGTCATTTTCAGGCTTGCTCTGGCCTGGCTTTAGAAGTCTTCCAGCTTTATGAGGGTCAGAAATGGTGGCAGGGATGGATTGTTTTGGTGCAGTTTGGAGTTCTGGTTTGTATTCCCTGACTGCTCTCTGCAGCCTCGAGCCTGGAATCCAACAGAGGTGTCAGCTTATGGCTCGTATCATGGGTGGCTTCAGACATCAAACCAAGAGCGGTGTGTGACTCACAGTAAGTATAAATTTATTGCCTGTAAACACTGTTTCAATAACTGTTCTCTCCCTGCGTTGATTCTTGCCTGTGGGTCTGGTGAGAAGAGACCTTTAAAGTGGTTCATATCCCGGTGGTGAAGGTGGGGCAGGGATACAGAGGCTTTCCTCAACAGTGGGAAGTTTGGGTAAAGATCTCATTAAACCTGTCTCATTCTAGCAGTGTCTTGCATAGCAGCAGGGTCGTAAAATGTAGGATGGGGAATAAGTTATACAACCTGACTGGCCAGATGTTGAAACTTCAATAAATAGCCATGATCTCCTGTATAGAAACCAAGTCTTTCCTGCCAGTTGTACATCTTGCTGTGTCACCAGCGATGCCTGTTTCATATCAATCAAAAAGTGGCTGTCAGCTACTTCAGATGAGATTCCTGGTCTTTTCACAGATAACCTGCATCATCTAAATGCCTGGCAGTATGCTGAGGTGGAAGACAGAAGACAATCCACTTATGTCTTTCAGAGTAGAAGTTCCTGCCTGTACGATGAGGGACATCCTTTTGAAATGGAAAAGTCTGATCAGTAAAGTCAAGCCTGATCTCTCAAGAGCTGACTGAGCTGTAAATGAGCCATATTTTTCAGTCTTGCCAAGCAATGTAACAAAATGAGACTCGAGGCTCTGGATTTTGGCTGTGGCGTTCCTGTTGGAAGGCTAGTTTGACCCACTTGTGACCAGGACAGGTTTCTTTGATTTCCACAGTTAGACAGGGGTTGAGAATTGCCTTAACTTTTCCTTCTATTTGTTGTGGCCCAAACCCCTGGTCTAAATGCTGAAGATTCTCTAATATTGCAAAAGGAGAGAGGGGTATTGGTAACTGTTCGTACCGGTAACTGTTCACCATGCCATGAGTTTCTTCGATACCTGTTTCAGCTCAAAGTATTCCATTATCTACCAGGCTGAGAAGGGTTCAAGATGCTGACAGCATAACACTTGGTAGATAGGAAGCAGTGAAGCAGATAAAATATTCAGGGAAAACATTTTGCAGGAAGCTTTTAAGACTGATGAGCTGGTATGGGGTTTGTTTTTTTTTTTCATATTATAAGCATGTCCTTTCCTACTCATTAATAAGATTACTTGTTGGGGAAAAAAAAGATGATTTGGGAGAAGAAAAATAAGAAAATTATGTACATCTGGTCATCTGCCAAAAGGAAGCCTTTGAATATTCTTAATAGACCGTTGTTCAGAAAGAAAGGTAATAGTTTGGCCTTTTTTCATGGTTCAGATAGCCTGAGCAGAATGCGCTGGGAGACACACCAAGCGCTGTATCAGGGCATGCTTTGAGACCCACAACCACACTGTGATCTCATGCACTGAATGTCCTGTAGCACTGTGCAGAGGTCCCTTGGTGTAACAAAATGAGTATTTAAATCTTTTCCATCCTGTTTTTCCACTTCTGTAATGAGGTATCAGATTCTGCTTAGCATGTTGTTTCTTCCAGCTGTGCCCTGAAGCCTACGGCACGACTGACACTGCGTCCCAGCGGGAGGCTCATGGGCCTTGCTGCTTCCCTGTCTTGGTCTGGGTCTCCTTAGGCCAGAGCGTTCGGTTGCATTGGCACAGGCTGCCCAGGGAAGTGGTGGAGTCACCATCCCCGGAGGTATTTAGAACACGTGTAGATGTGGTGCTTAGGGACATGGTTTAGCGGTGGACTTGGCAGTGCTAGGTTAATGGTTGGACTTGATGATCTTAAAGGTCTTTTCCAACTTAACTGATTCTATGATTCTATTCTTCAGCATACTCCACACTGAGAGCTGGTTTTGGGGGTTTACCTGGCTCTGAGCAGTGATTTTTCTGTGGCGTGACTTTCTGGCATTTGGTACAAATAATCTGTATCTTCAAAGGCAAAACCAGGCTTTAGTGATACCATGCTGTCCCAGCTGTCTAGCTCCATGCTTTCTGAATTAGTGTACCAAATAAATCCCAGTGCAGATCAACAGGAGAGTTGATTGAGTTTGATCTTTATCTGATCCTTGAACAGATAAACTGTAAGTAGTTCCTTCTGGTCACTGAATGCTTTAGTAACTATTTGTTTTTATTTGATGATGAGGGGCATCTGCGGGTTAGATATTCACCAGGATCTCCCTGCTGTTATGCTCTTCCAAAGATTTAGTGTCTGGTTGGTTCTGCAATATGCATCAGCCGCACTGAAAGGCAGCATTTTTTTAATTTATTCATTTTAAAGAATTGGCCCTGTTAGCTAAGTTTTGAGAAGTTTTCAGCAGCTCAGCTTTCTCCTTGTTTCAGGAAGAGATCTAGGATAGGCAGAGGTGGACAGCAGAATCTCTTCTTATCTCTTTACTAACATTTCTTCTTCTTAGAGCCAGGGTAGCTCCTGTCAGTAAAATGAAGTCTCTCTGGCACACAGTGAGGGGAAGAAAATGTGCACTCGTGAGCCAGCAAGAGGGAGCAAGAAGCTACAGCCCAGTTGTTGGATGTGAGGGCCGAAAAGGTTTTTGACACAATAGCTATAGAGCCAACGCAAAATAGTTCTACGTTATAGTTGGCTTTTGTGAGAAGTTCAACGCATATCTGAGCTAGTCATTGAAAAAACTCATCCTGAGAGTTCTAGTCCTGCTTTCAGTTTGAACTGAAGTTCTGAGACTGTAAATGGAAGTTCTTTATTTCAGAAATGAAATTAGTCCTTATCATTGCTAGCTAGTGACAAGTTAATTTCACTGAGGAGCTCACAGTTCTGAATAAGATATTTCAGGCTCCACCATAAAATCCATGTTAAAATTATCAGATATCTATATCCTAAGCCAAAGGAAATCAGCTGTAGGATAATTAGCACCATAAGAAGAACAATAGGAAATAGCAAAACAATAAGAAATAGAAAAGGCTGCTGAACAAGAAAAGCTGTTTGTTTTGACTTATTAAAAATGAAAAGTGTTAGGGTAGAGTTAAGAAGTGCTATCAGCCAGCTATTTTTCAAAGAGATTAAAATAAATGCATAAGTTTTTAAAGTGCAAGAGGAAAAAATTAACATGAAGCTACTGCATACTGTGTGGTTGACATCCAGACTTGATTACAAAACTACGCCCAGCACCTTGCTGCTTGCTCAAGGCAAAGATGGCAAAGCTCAGCGTTGGTGGGCGGGGTAGAGAGGGAGATAAACTGAGAAAACCAGAAATAACTTAGCAATGTGGAAGTGAAAAAATGTGTGCAAGTTATAGAAACCAAGTAATTGCTCTCCTGGAATTGTTAATTGTTCAGAACTAATGGAAAGAAGCTGTTGTAGTATCCACCTGGGGGTGGTACCATATGAATGGAGAGCTTCTAATGTAGTCGCTGGGTTTTAAGGAAAAGGGGGGGGGGGGGGGGGTTGGAAATCAACCTGAAGGATAACTGTAAGTGA